ACCCGGCCGTCCCTCCAAACTTTCATCTCAAACAAGGAGTAGACTGATCAGAGATGCAGCCAAGAGGCCCATGATCACTCTGGATGAACTGCAGATAACTACAGCTGAGGTGGGAGAGTCTGTCCATAGGACAACAATCAGTCGTGCACTGCACAAATCTGGCCTTTATGGAAGAGTGGCCATTTCTCAAAGATATCCATAAAAAGTCTTGTTTAAAGTTTGCCACAAGCCACCTGGGAGACACACCAAACATGTGGAAGAAGGTGCTCTGGTCAAATGAAACCAAAATTGAACTTTTTGGCCACAATGCAAAACGATATGTTTGGCGTAAAAGCAACACAGCTCATCACCCTGAACACACCATCCCCACTGTCACTCATGGGGGTGGCAGCATCATGCTTTGGGCCTGCTTTTCTTCAGCAGGGACAGGGAAGATGGCTAAAATTGATGGGAAGATGGATGGAGCCAAATACAGGACCAGTCTGGAAGAAAACCTGTTGGAGTCTGCAAAAGACCTGAGACTGGGACGGAGATTTATCTTCCAACAGGACAATGATCTAAAACATAAAGCCAAATCTACAATGGAATGGTTCACAAATAGACGTATCCAGGTGTTAGAATGGCCAAGTCAAAGTCCAGACCTGAATCCAATCGAGAATCTGTGGAAAGAGCTGAAGACTGCTGTTCACAAACGCTCTCCATCCAACCTCACTGAGCTCCAGCTGTTTTGCAAGGAAGAATGGGCAAGAATTCCAGTCTTTCAATGTGCAAAACTGATAGAGACAAACCCCAAGCGACTTGCAGCTGTAATTGCAGCAAAAGGTGGCGCTACAAAGTATTAGCGCAAGGGGCCGAATAATATTGCACGCCCCACTTTTCAGTTTATATGTTAAAAAAGTTTAAATTATCCAATAAATTTTGTTCCACTTCAAGATTGTGTCCCACTTGTTGTTGATTCTTGACAAAACAATCTATTTTAATATCTTTATGTTTGAAGCCTGAAATGTGGCGAAATGTTGAAAGGTTCAAGGGGGCCGAATACTTTCGCAAGGCACTGTATCTATCTATGTGTGTGTGTATCTATCTATCTATGTGTGTGTGTATCTATCTATCTATGTGTGTGTGTATCTATCTATCTATGTGTGTGTGTGTATCTATCTATGTGTGTGTGTATCTATCTATCTATGTGTGTGTGTATCTATCTATCTATGTGTGTGTGTATCTAGCTATCTATGTGTGTGTGTGTGTATCTAGCTATCTATGTGTGTATATGTGTGTATGTGTGCGTCTATCTACATCCATCCATCCATGCCTGTGCGGTGGGAACACAGTTGTGCAGGTGTGTGTGTGTGTGTGTTTAGTTGTGTGTCCAAACCCACTTGATGAGGTTCTGGAAGGCGTATCCGTCGGTCCACTGCTCGGTGAAGGAGGCTCCGTGTCGGACCGTGGTGAAGTGTCCGAGGCGGAGGCGGTCCTGCATGCTCTTGTCCCTGCACGACTTCTTCTCTTGTTTGGACTAACACACAAACGCAGGGTTAACATCACCTTCTGCTGCACGCTCTCACCGTGCGCCGCCGTGCGCCGCCGCGGCCCACCTTCTCCACCAGCAGCTTCTGGCTCATGGTCACACACTTGTTGAGCCGTTCTTTGTAGCGCTCCAAGACTTTCTGCTGCTCGTCGATCTGCCGCCTCAGGTCACAGTTGGCCTGAGGAACACGCCAACCATGGTATTCATATATTTATATTTATATTTATATTTGTATTTATATGTGTATTTATATGTGTATTTGTATGTGTATTTGTATGTGCAGATGGTGGGACTAACCCTCAGTAAGTCGTCTATCCTGCCCTCCTTCTTCTCCAGGTCCGAGTTCTTGTCGTTCTCCAGAGCCGTGAGCTTCAGCAGCGTCAGCTCAGACTGAAACACAAGAAAACTATAAATAAGTATTTTAGAATGATTTATATCGATCTATAATAAACATCTGCAGCACAAGAGCAGAGAGGATTCATGGTTTTACACTGGTCCAGACCAGAGAGGATTCATGGTTTTACACTGGTCCAGACCAGAGAGGATTCATGGTTTTACACTGGTCCAGACCAGAGCAGAGAGGATTCATGGTTTTACACTGGTCCAGACCAGAGAGGATTCATGGTTTTACACTGGTCCAGACCAGAGCAGAGAGGATTCATGGTTTCACACTGGTCCAGACCAGAGCAGAGAGGATTCATGGTTTTACACTGGTCCAGACCAGAGCAGAGAGGATTCATGGTTTCACACTGGTCCAGACCAGAGCAGAGACAATGGTCTGAACCAAGCTCCACCTGCTGCTGAGACCTGAAGGACTCTTATTATTATTATTAGATACTTTCAGAATTATACATTTATGTGTTTTGTTTGTTTGGATGTGTTTCTGCTTCTTCTGGACCTGTATTTCTCCAACAGGATCCAGTAAAACATATGTTTCTTTGGCACAAGGACAAGCGGCAAAGTCCCATGGTATCTAACCATAAGACCCAACTGATGTATGGATGGAAAGGAATAGGGACAGTTTTCTCACATGGTCTTTCTCCTGGTCTTTCTCACATGGTCTTTCTCACATGGTAAAGTCAGCTGTCTCACATGGTCTTTCTCACATGGTAAAGTCATCTGTCTCACATGGTAAAGTCAGCTGTCTCACATGGTCTTTCTCACATGGTAAAGTCAGCTGTCTCACATGGTCTTTCTCACATGGTAAAGTCAGCTGTCTCACATGGTCTTTCTCACATGGTAAAGTCAGCTGTCTCACATGGTCTTTCTCACATGGTAAAGTCAGCTGTCTCACATGGTCTTTCTCACATGGTCTTTCTCACATGATAAAGTCAGCTGTCACACATGGTCTTTCTCACATGGTAAAGTCATCTGTCTCACATGGTAAAGTCAGCTGTCTCACATGGTCTTTCTCACATGGTAAAGTCAGCTGTCTCACATGGTCTTTCTCACATGGTAAAGTCAGCTGTCTCACATGGTCTTTCTCACATGGTAATACCAGTGTGCAGTGACCTGTATGGCTTTGTGAGCGCAGAAGTTGTGGCGCAGAGTTTTGAGCGAGCTGCAGGACGAGGAGTCGGTGAAGATGGATCCAGTGGAGGACGGGCTGCTGTGCTGGAACTGTCACAAACACAGAAGAAGAAGAACGCACTTTTAACCGGTTGATGGTCCTCACCAGGAGACCAGGACTAGTGCCAAAACTAGCCTCAGGGAATGGGACAAGATGAAGTCAAAGAGAGAAGAGTCATTCCATGGAGACAAAATGATAGAAAAGGGAAGAATGGAGGAGATGGAGAAAGAAAATGTTTGGAAAGAGTAAAGTTGGAGACTGAGCTTTTAACTTACATCGAAGTAGTCACTGACTTTCTGTCCTTTTCCATTTCCTTGAACAGAATAATGTTGTCTTTAGTATAAAATAAGATTCACATTTGCGTTGTGTTTGGGACTCACCCTGGTGGTTGGTGGCATCAGAAACCTCGCCCTTCCTCTTCCGGCCTCTCGGTCCACTGCTCTTTTTCTCTGGTGTCTGGAATAAAATCACAAATATGAAAATAATCTCCGTCCGTGTTTTGTGTGTTTTGTGCATGTTTATTATTCACCTCCAGCTCTTTGTCACTGAGCGACCCGGCACTGCACAGCGACTGGTTGGACGATTCGCTGTTGACAGAATTCTAGGAACAAATAGTAAACAAAAACAAAAAAATGGTTTATACTTTTCAAACCTGCAAAACATCGACACAAACTAATATGCTCAGAGTTAAAGGAGCAGTGTGTAAACGTGTGGCCAAAAGTGGTACTGCAGCCTCCCCCACTCTCCCTGACTCAGGTTGCCAGATATGCAGACGAATCCAGCTGGGACCATAACAGCTGAATAGACAAGAGTTTTGTCAACAACAAATCTATAACCAACACCTTTTTCACAAAGATAGAAATCCTGGTTTTATTCCTTGTTTTGTCGTTAATGATTTGAGAATCATAACGAGACCTTTTTTAGTTCTGCGCCACATGGTACTTTACCAGTGAGATTAGCTCCACGTGGTGAGTTCTGGCGCCCGGATCACAGACTTTCTGATTGGTGAAACGGTGGAGGGCGGGACATCGAAATGAAAACAATAACAAGATTTAGAGGCTGGAAAAGTAATTTAGAAATTCAGTTTAGGGCCCTTTAATGATGACAGATTAGGGCCCTTTAATGATGACAGATTAGGGCCCTTTAATGATGACAGATTAGGGCCCTTTAATGATGACAGATTAGGGCCCTTTAATGATGACAGATTAGGGCCCTTTAATGATGACAGATTAGGGCCCTTTAATGATGACAGATTAGGGCCCTTTAATGATGACAGATTAGAAGAGGAGAAGGCAGACCTAAGACCGAGTGCTTTCAGGAGCTGCCATTTTATCATTTTATTGTTTTATTTCCACGCCCCACAGACGTTCAGCAGCGACAGGACGAGTCTGTGCAGCGGTGTTTTAGTCTCACTCATCAACATTGAAACCAAAACTTGATGATTTAGGTTTTCTCTTCAGTGAACCCTCTCACTTTGAAGATAAAAGCAGTTAAACATAAACCTTTTGGATGAAGACCAATCCAGGATACACACCTTTCCGACACCGGCTCCTGAAAACCGAGCCTCGAGTAGTTCTTGGCGGCGAGGGTCCAGGCCCATAGTCCCGGCATGGACTCCTTCCATCATGCCTTAAAGATCAATAAAACAGAAATTAATCAAAAATGCATGACTCTGCAGAGACAGTGGAAAGAATATATAAGTGAATGTGTAGACGACATCCTCAGCTTTGCCACAGACACATAATATTAACATTATTATTATTATTATTATTATTATTATTATTATACTGATTTTTATTCCAAATATCAATGAAATCCTCCAGTGCTGATTGCAGTCACAGTTTTACTTATCACTTGACTGACTTGATTTGTAAACGATGTGTATCAGGAGGTCATTGTTTACTCCAGACAACAAGGTGCGGTCGATTCCAAAAGTCAGGCTGGATCCAGAAGGTTTGAGGTTTGCAGGAAAAGCCACAAAGACAGATGTGCTTTGATCCTTTTGAGAATCTGTTTCATTAAAAGTGGCGCTGGGAGGATTACTCTGCAAATAAGCAAAAGTTTCTGTGGATGTGCAGAATGGGCCAAGTGAAGCAGGATGATCGGAGGGAGTTTTGCCCCATGCTAAACAGTCCATAAGGTTAGCATCATGCATCAGAGAAGTGCTCTCACCTGAAGATCCTGTTCCCCAGACTCAGCTGCGTCCATCCGGAGACATCTGAACCACGAGCAATCAACACTTCTACACACACGATACAAAGCCCTGTGCACTTCAAAGGCCCGTGTGAGACTAGCTTTAACAGATGGAAGACATGGGTTAGCTTAGCCGTTAGCTTAGCCGATGCTAGCTGGGAGCAGCGCCTGGTGCGGGTGTCATCCGGACAGAGGCCCTGCTCCTCGGGGTTTCCTCTGCAGGGGCCTCAGCTGTCACCTCTGCAGCCCGGACACCACTGGGTCATACTGCTGCAGAAACACTGCTGTGGACCCGGCAGGCTTCACGCACACGCCACAGCCGCCATCTCCCACGGACGGACCGAGCTCCAGCTGCTGTTCCCCCGAGATGTGAACCCGGTCTGTGGCCGCAGGACTCCGGGGAGCAGTGAGTGATGCCTCCTGGCGCTGTTTAATACATAAGACCACAAGGGCACAGCCAAGTGGAGACAGTCTGAACTCTGCCTGCTCCCTGCAGACCAGGCATGTGTTCTCAGCCTGCACGGCACGGCATGGCATGGCATGCGTGTGTCTGTGCAGCTGCAAACTTCTGCTGGTTCATGCATGCAGTGGGAAGGGTCTTTTGCACATGGGAAACTTTTTACCAAGAAAATATGTCACTGGTGTCCGTCTCAAAAAGTGCAAACAAAGCGAATAAAGTTGTAAAGTCATCAGTGCCCATTGAAAACATGCAGTTACTGTCCACCAGGATGTTATTGTAATTAAAAGTATGATTTGGGGATAATGCAAGTGTCTGTGTTTGGCCACAAGGTGGAGACAAAGGACACACACAGAACTCTGCTCCTGTTGATATCCTGCTGACCACATAAATAAACAACTATGACCAGACAGTTTTTTAATATATATTTATTGTCCAACCATGAGTGTCTGTTGTTGACAGTTCTTAGAATATGTCCTCTTCGTTTCTACATATTTACACAGAGCATGAACACGATGGTCCTGGGACAGTAGAGTCCTGCACATGTCGGTCCTTCTGCAGCGTCAGTCTTTGCCTCTGTATGTGATGTTCGTGAAGGTGGAAGTGGCTCCTTTGTACAGAGGGTTGTGTCCCTGGAAAGTCCACAAGAATGTGATTAGTTGTCAGAACATTTATGACATAAGACTGTATTAAAACACGCCTTAATGAAGTTTTCATGTGACTATGGAGGAAATGTGCCTCATGTGGGTTTCCATTAGCCACGTCTTAAACAGTGGGTTTCTTGTGGTTTGGTCCTGATGGGATTTGGGTGTGTGTGGCCACTAATGTGCCTTATTACCAGTAAAAGATAATTAGCGACAGCTAATTTAAACCCAGCCCTTCCGTTGACTACCTTTATTCTGCTGACAGTAGCAGCAACAATAATAAAATACTCTTCATAAAGAAAGTCACAGTCTGTGTGTGGTCTTTGAGACGAAAACATCTTTTCATAAGAATGAAGGCTAAACATATCTTTGATCGTAACTTACCGTGTCCCATTTGGCCCGTGCTCGCTCTTCTTCAAATTTGGCAAACTCTCGTCTGTCGTGAATGGTCACCAACAGTTTCCAGATCAGAAGAGCAGCGAGGCCCAGGAACAAGATGGCTCCTGCCACCGACAGCAGCACCACCACGATGTCCGGGCCTTTGGGACAGTCTGCAGACAGACAACAGATAAGAACACATGCAGACCACAGGAGAGGATTTATGGATCTGTTTTCTGCTTCACACAAACACAGAGTTTGGCTGAAGTCATAAAGTATTCTTACGTTTTGTGTGAACATGAAAAACATTGCTCAACATCAGTGATAAATAAGAACGAGGTTTGAATGAAGTGGAAAAACACAGCCGTGTGTATCCAGGCCACAAATCCCTTTCCCTCACTGTGGTCTGACAAAACCAGAGTGAAATATGTAAAAGGGGGCGGGACACCAGATGATTGACAGAACAAGAATCTAGTCTCAAAAGTGCATCAAGAGAAAAGTATATTTTCATAAGAGCAGCCTTCAGACCGTTCGTTCAAATGACCTTTTATACATTTCTAAAACGTACATTGCTCATTTTTGTTGTTCACTGTTTCTCTAAAACAATGAACCGATAGAATCATTCAAAGTGCTTTTCATATTTTCATTCTCTGTCAGGAGGCAAGACTCAGTAAGACTTAGCAAGACTCGGCAAGACTCGGCAAGACTTAGAAAGACAGGCTTCACAAATAACACGAGATATTTCATCAGTTTTTAGTGCATCTGCAAAAATCACCAGGAAATGGCTCCAAACAGATTCTTTTTCATTGTAAGATTGGATTAATCTGTGGACGTCTGACTGCTAAGATTACAGGCTAAAATCTACGACTCCAGATGTGAAAATGGCGACATATTTGACTTCAGGTTGAGTTTTGTGACTTGTCTTCTTGCATATGTTTGTGTAAATATCACATCCATCTGATCATGTTTATTGACGTTCTTAGAAACCTCTCCATGCTGACTGTATTTTTGTTCTTTTTCTCTTGTTTGTTGTGTCAATAAAAATTCAAGTTTGAAAAATAAATAAATACGGCATTGTTTAAAACCCAGGAGCACGTGGTGGGTTCAATCCCGAGAGAGGCCGCACATACAGGAGCTGTAGGTGACTGTGTAGGGGCTGAGGTTTTACAGCTAACATCAAAGACATTTCTGCTGCGCTACTTCCTCTCACCTTCACATCGCTTCGTTTTATGGCAAACTTTACGTCCAGCCACAAAGACACGACTCCAAACGGGATTTTCTTTTACATTTTTCATCATTTAGATCCCACTTGTGTCTTGCCGTCTTTGCTCTTGCAGATTATCGTTCTGTTTTCTGTGTGATATTTGCCTGAGCGTGTTCCTGAAAGACGCTGAGCTCAGGTTTACGGCCCCCGACACCGCGGGGGGCGAGGGTTCAAGGCTGAAGCTGCTGCACTTCCATCTTATCCATGTGTCTAAACTGAACACACACATTCATTAAAGACAGACTTTGGCTGAGGGCAATTGTGTTCATTAAAACCACTTTTGCCCATTTTACCAGCTTCTATCCTCTCTTTTGTGGACGGTGAAGTGACGAGTGGAGCCGGAAAGATACAAAACTTATATATAGTGTGTTGTGTGTATAATTATATTCTGCACAGAATATATTTTCTAACATGGTTCTGTCTTTTGCACAGTCTGAGTGATTCTGTCTGAGCCAAATGTGACATGTACATTTCTCTGTTTAATACTATTGTAATCTTTTCAGAATTATATATTTATTAGTTTTGTTTCTTTGGATGGATGTGTTTTTGCTGCTACTGGACACCTGCATTTCTCCAACAGGGATCAATAAAGTATCTATCTATGGGCGGCCCGGTGGCTGAGTGGTTAGCACTCTTGCTTCTAAGCAAGAAGGTCCTGGGTTCGAATTCCAACTGGAACAGGGCCATTCTGAGTGGAGTTTGCATGTTCTCCCCGTGTCTGCGTTGGTTTCTTCTGGGTACTCCAAATTCCCCATCTCTGTGTGGAGTGAGAGACAAATGCCCACGACAACGCTTTGTGACTCTGGTCTGTGACAGGCAGTATATTAATAAACATTACTTACTTACTATCTATCTCTGTATCTATCTATCTGTCTATATCTAAATGGATAAATACTATAATCGTACCTGGCTCTTTGACCACAGACAGATAATCGTACCTGCTCTTTGACCACAGACAGATAATCGTACCTGGCTCTTTGACCACAGACAGATAATCGTACCTGGCTCTTTGACCACAGACAGATAATCGTACCTGGCTCTTTGACCACAGACAGATAATCGTACCTGGCTCTTTGACCACAGACAGATAATCGTACCTGGCTCTTTGACCACAGACAGATAATCGTACCTGCTCTTTGACCACAGACAGATAATCGTACCTGGCTCTTTGACCACAGACAGATAATCGTACCTGGCTCTTTGACCACAGACATAATCGTACCTGGCTCTTTGACCACAGACAGATAATCGTACCTGGCTCTTTGACCACAGACAGATAATCGTACCTGGCTCTTTGACCACAGACAGATAATCGTACCTGGCTCTTTGACCACAGACAGTATAGATTTGCCGCTGGCGTCCTCGTAATACTGAAACCTCTGGACACAGTCGTTCTCGTCTTTATAGGAACAGTTCACGGCGTTTGTGTCGTGAAGAACTGAGGACAAACATGAGGTTTAAAAACAGTCTCTCACAAAAGTCCTGCGTCAAAAGAATCTGATGTTTTTACTTAAATCGTCCACGAGTTGGATGTCGTCTTTGCAGATCCGGGAGCAGGAGTGCTCCTCGAACAGACGGCCTCGTTTAAAATGTCTGCACTTCACACACTCTCTGTGAAAAGACACAAAGAAAGGATTAAAACCGAGACCAACGCCACAAACTCAATCAAGAGTCATGTTGGTCTCGTCCTGTTGGGATGATATTTATAATCTTCTAGAGTTAGAGATTATATTTTATTTCAGGATTCGTCTGCATATCTGGCAACCTGAGTCAGGGAGAGTGGGAGAGGCTGCAGTACCACTTTTGGCCACATGTTTACACACTGCTCCTTTAAAAGAACAATATGTCAAAAATATATGACAAAACTCAGTTTGCCAGATATGCAGACGAATCCAGCTGGGACCATAACAGCTGAATAGACAAGAGTTTTGTCAACAACAAATCTATAACCAACACCTTTTTCACAAAGATAGAAATCCTGCTTTTATTCCTTGTTTTGTCGTTAATGATTTGAGAATCATAACGAGACCTTTTTTAGTTCTGCGCCACATGGTACTTTACCAGTGAGATTAGCTCCACGCGGTGCGTTCTGGCGCCCGGATCACAGACTTTCTGATTGGTGAAACGGTGGAAGGCGGGACATCGAAATGAAAAAAATAACAAGATTTAGGGCCCTTTAATGATGACAGATTAGGGCCCTTTAATGATGACAGATTAGGGCCCTTTAAGGATGACAGATTAGGGTCCTTTAATGATGACAGATTAGGGCCCTTTAATGATGACAGATTAGGGCCCTTTAATGATGACAGATTAGGGTCCTTTAATGATGACAGATTAGGGCCCTTTAATGATGACAGATTAGGGCCCTTTAATGACATTGCTGGTCTTACTTCTTCATGGTGCAGGCGTCGGGGCAGGTGGGGCACTTGTCGCAGGTGGCCCCGTAGGCCCCGGGCTGGGTGCACTCACAGGCCCCGCACACGCACTGGCCCCGCCCACTGCACAGGAGCCCCACACTGGACATACAGGGCTCGGTGCGCCTGGAGCAGTTACAGTTCTCCCCCTGCCAGTCGGACTCACACTGACAGAAGCCGCAGTTACACACACCGTGGCCTGCGCACAAAGAAACACACAAAAGGTTAGCTACACATACAAGGACACACAACAGGCTAGCTATACACACAAGGAGACATAACAGGTTAGCTACACACACAAGGACACACAACAGGTTAGCTACACACACAAGGACACAAAACAGAAGAATTATTCACACACAAGGACACACAACAGAAGAATTAAACACACAACAGAAGAACTATACACACAAGGACACACAACAGAACTACACACACAAGGACAAACAACAGAAGAATTAAACACACAAGGACACACAACAGAACATTTAGACACACAAGGACACACAACAGAAGAACTATACACACAAGGACACACAACAGAAGAACTATATACACACACAAGGACACACAACAGAAGAACTATACACACAAGGACACACAACAGAAGAACTATACACACAAGGACACACAACAGAAGAACTATACACACAAGGACACACACTTTGACTATTTCCACTTGTTTTGAAACTGTTTTTGTTGTGATGATTGTTTCTTGAACCTTTCATCTTTTTGTAGCTTGGTATATGTGTCTGGTGCACACTGGGGACTTTTGCACAAGTATTCCAATGTGGTTTTACTGCAAATGGCAAAGAGCCTGAGTCCTCCCCGACGACTACGATTATTCAGACTCTGACGAACTGTAAAAGACAAAAATGACCGTATTCTATGTATTTTCAACTTTTATATTAATATTCTTTAAAATATGAACCAATTGAATTTAAGTCGGAAATAATTAGCAAAATTCAAAATGCTATATTTTTGGCCTCGCACCAAAATATATTAGTGACATGTTAGTCCCATATGAACCAGCCCAGACTCTGAGGAGCACAGGGACTGGCCTCCTGCCGGGACTCTGAGGAGCACAGGGACTGGACTCCTGCTGGGACTCTGAGGAGCACAGGGACTGGACTCCTGCTGGGACTCTGAGGAGCACAGGGACTGGACTCCTGCTGGGACTCTGAGGAGCACAGGGACTGGACTCCTGCTGGGACTCTGAGGAGCACAGGGACTGGCCTCCTGCCGGGACTCTGAGGAGCACAGGGACTGGACTCCTGCTGGGACTCTGAGGAGCACAGGGACTGGACTCCTGCCGGGACTCTGAGGAGCACAGGGACTGGCCTCCTGCCGGGACTCTGAGGAGCACAGGGACTGGACTTGGGGACATGGGGAGAACATGCAAACTCCACACAGACCCAGTGCTTCTTGCTAACCACTCAAGTCGACATCTCCAGTCAGTCCCAAAGTGTTTCTCTCCCACTCTTTGGAATCACAGCCGTCAACATCGACTGGAACCTTCTATTTACAGATTAGAAAAACAATTCTTCTAAAACCAGCACAAATGTATCTTTAGTTTAGCCCTTTTCCACTTCCACCAAGCACAAAGAAGCAGAAGCTCAGTCATGTCTGTGGAACACTTAAACATTTTCCCATGAGCCTTTGCTGTCTGGGTTATTTCTGTGGATATGATTGTGCAGCATTAAAAATAAACCTGTTCCCACTGATGTGTTGTTTTAAAGTGAGTCGAGAGTTCGTAAGAAGTGGTTTTAAAGCTTCGTTGTGGTCTGTAGCTGCACAACACTGACCCGGACCATGATGCAGCTCACACAGAACCACAACCACTGCCTTTAAAGTCATAATGGACCCGGACCATGATGCAGCTCACACAGAACCACAACCACTGCCTTTAAAGTCATAATGGACATGATCTGTGATGAGATAGAAACTGTGAACACGGACTTGGACTGAACAACTCCAGTCCCACTTTCAGCCCTTTTGGCCAAACAAGAGGTTATTTTTGGGGCTATTACAGCGTCCGTGAGTAAGCACAGAGGTATGTTGGTGTTAATCTATGTTCTATGGGGAATACAAGACATTTCTGTCTGAGGGAACGCAGAGTTTAAGTGATTTGCAGCCAGAGGAGAGGTCTGTAAGTCATTACACATGTGCAATTATCTGTCAATGGCTACGTTAGCTTCAGAAAGTAGGGAATGGAATGGGCTCTTTGTTGGTCATCAGTTATGGTTGGTTTGGGATATAGTGGCTAAAAAAGCAAATAGAATGAGGTGCTATTCAATGTGTATGTTTAGAAATGCTTTCAATTTGTATTATTTATTATCCTTTTTAGATGATTAAAAATACTTCTGGACTATGAGCCGCTATTGTTTTCCAAGTTCTTTTAACCCTGTGGCCTTTACAGTGTATTTTTATTGTGGTGGAGAATCCCTTGGAGCTGTGGTTTATGTTTATGTGAACAGTAGAGAGCCGACACCAGGAAATGCAAAAACATTCACAGGAGTAAAACGGATGAGGGTTGTTGTTGTCATGGTGTGAACTTTTTGGTTTTTTGTACTTGATTCAGTTCAGTGTTCATGGTTTTACACAGGTCCAGAGCAGAGAGGATCTATCTACCTATGTATCTAGAATTACCTGAATTTCTCCTACGTGGATCAATAAAGTATCTATCTATGTATCTATGAATCTATCCAACTACCTACAGTACCTTTCCATCTATCTATGTATCTCTCTCTACTGTATAACAATAGAATCTGCCTGTAAACACATATAACCACTTATAAACATAAACATGTCCCACTGTGCTAAAACACTGAAGGACAATTGTTCTCTTCCTGACCTCCAGAAGGATACACAAATGCGGTCGGTGTGACACAAACATGTGCGTTGTAAGTCGCACACACGCACCTCCAGCCGCTGTTTATTATGAGAGCAGCCGTGTGCACCAGCAGACTTTATGATTCCCAGATGCATGGCACAGGAGAGGACGGACGACACACAACCTCTCACACAGACACACACACAGACACACACACAGACAAACACAACCTCTCACACAGACACACACACCAACACACACACAGACACACACACAGACACACACACAGACAAACACAACCTCTCACACAGACACACACACCGACACACACACAGACACACACACAGACTAACACAACCTCTCACACAGACACACACACCGACACACACACAGACACACACACAGACAAACACACAGACACACACACAGACAAACACAACCTCTCACACAGACACACACACTGACACACACACAGACACACACAGACAAACACAACCTCTCACACAGACACACACACCGACACACACACAGACACACACAAAGACACGCACAACCTCTCACGCAGACACACACAGACACACAACATCTCACACAGACACACACACATACACACACACAAAAACACACGCGCACACACAAAAACACACACAAAGACACACGCTGGTACACACAGACACACACACGCGCGCGCGCACACAAAGACACACACGCGCGCAATCAAAGACACACACGCACACACAAAGACACATGCACACGTCTGTCCGTCTCCTCTGTACGACAGTATATCAAGTCAATGCAATCTTTCTTCTGAGTTCTAGTCCTCTTACGGGACTAGAACTCAGAGCTAAATCTGGTTTGTTAGTTAGAAATGTATTATTGTGTTCAGATGGATAGGAGGATCTATAGGGGATCAATAATTTATCTATCTATATATCTGTGTGTTTTCTCATCCTCTTTACCATCAACACAACTCTATCTTTCTTGTTTTGATGACAGCCCTCTCCTGTGACCAGAACTCGGAGCTAAATCTACTAATGGTGTGTTTTCTGACCTGAGCAGAGTTCCCCTTTGTACCGCAGACAGTTGAAGTCGTCACATTCGCAGGTTTTTCCCCACACTTTCCCGAAGTCGCTGCTGTGACACACACACTGGCCGCAGACGCAGTCCCCGCGCCCGGAGCACACGGCGGACTGAGGCCCCGTGGTCCCGGCGGCCCCACTGCAGCGGTCCTGGTCGGTGGGGTTGTAGTCCCCCTCGGCACACTCGCAGTGGGGTCCCAGGCGGCCGGCGTGGCACTGGCAGATGCCGCACTCGAAGGTGCCGTTCCCGTAGTGGCACTTGGGGCTGTGGGGCTGCGCTCGGGCCTGACACTTACAGTCGCACTCGAAGGTCACGGTGATGGACAGAGAGTCTTTGAACCCCACCGGTTTGATGATAAAGGTCTTCTTCTTCTGTTTGGGGCAGCCGCGAGCCCGGGCCTCCACGCTGAACGACACCTACCACACATAACGGAACACATAACGGAACACATAACGGAACACATCATGGAACACATCATGGAACACATCATGGAACACATCATGGAACACATAACGGAACACATAACGGAACACATCATGGAACACATCATGGAACACATAACGGAACACATAACGGAACACATAACGGAACACATAACGGAACACATCATGGAACACATAACGGAACACATAACGGAACACATCATGGAACACATCATGGAACACATCATGGAACACATCATGGAACACATCATGGAACACATCATGGAACACATCATGGAACACATCATGGAACACATAACGGAACACATAACGGAACACATCATGGAACACATAACGGAACACATCATGGAACACATCATGGAACACATAACGGAACACATAACGGAACACATAACGGAACACATCATGGAACACATCATGGAACACATCATGGAACACATAACGGAACACATCATGGAACACATCATGGAACACATAACGGAACACATCATGGAACACATCATGGAACACATAACGGAACACATAACGGAACACATCATGGAACACATCATGGAACACATAACGGAACACATAACGGAACACATAACGGAACACATAACGGAACACATCATGGAACACATAATGGAACACATCATGGAACACATAACGGAACACATCATGGAACACATCATGGAACACATCATGGAACACATCATGGAACACATCATGGAACACATAACGGAACACATAACGGAACACATCATGGAACACATCATGGAACACATAACGGAACACATAACGGAACACATAACGGAACACATAACGGAACACATCATGGAACACATAACGGAACACATAACGGAACACATCATGGAACACATCATGGAACACATCATGGAACACATCACGGAACACATCATGGAACACATCATGGAACACATCATGGAACACATCATGGAACACATAACGGAACACATAACGGAACACATCATGGAACACATAACGGAACACATCATGGAACACATAACGGAACACATCATGGAACACATAACGGAACACATCATGGAACACATCATGGAACACATAACGGAACACATAACGGAACACATAACGGAACACATAAACAGAAACATATGGAACACATAACGGAACACATAACGGAACACATCATGGAACACATAACGGAACACATCATGGAACACATCATGGAACACATAACGGAACACATAACGGAACACATAACGGAACACATCATGGAACACATAACGGAACACATCATGGAACACATAACGGAACACATCATGGAACACATAACGGAACACATAACGGAACACATAACGGAACACATCATGGAACACATAACGGAACACATCATGGAACACATCATGGAACACATCATGGAACACATAACGGAACACATCATGGAACACATAACGGAACACATCATGGAACACATCATGGAACACATCATGGAACACATAACGGAACACATCATGGAACACATAACGGAACACATCATGGAACACATAACGGAACACATCATGGAACACATAACGGAACACATCATGGAACACATCATGGAACACATAACGGAACACATAACGGAACACATAACGGAACACATAACGGAACACATCATGGAACACATAACGGAACACATAACGGAACACATCATGGAACACATAACGGAACACATCATGGAACACATCATGGAACACATAACGGAACACATAACGGAACACATCATGGAACACATAACGGAACACATCATGGAACACATAACGGAACACATAACGGAACACATCATGGAACACATCATGGAACACATAACGGAACACATAACGGAACACATAACGGAACACATCATGGAACACATAACGGAACACATCATGGAACACATAACGGAACACATAACGGAACACATCATGGAACACATAACGGAACACATCATGGAACACATAACGGAACACATAACGGAACACATCATGGAAACATCATGGAACACATAACGGAACACATAACGGAACACATAACGGAACACATCATGGAACACATAACGGAACACATCATGGAACACATCATGGAACACATCATGGAACACATAACGGAACACATCATGGAACACATAACGGAACACATCATGGAACACATCATGGAACACATCATGGAACACATAACGGAACACATCATGGAACACATCATGGAACACATAACGGAACACATCATGGAACACATCATGGAACACATAACGGAACACATCATGGAACACATCATGGAACACATAACGGAACACATAACGGAACACATAACGGAACACATCATGGAACACATAACGGAACACATCATGGAACACATAACGGAACACATCATGGAACACATCATGGAACACATAACGGAACACATAACGGAACACATAACGGAACACATCATGGAACACATAACGGAACACATCATGGAACACATCATGGAACACATAACGGAACACATCATGGAACACATAACGGAACACATCATGGAACACATAACGGAACACATCATGGAACACATAACGGAACACATCATGGAACACATCATGGAACACATAACGGAACACATCATGGAACACATAACGGAACACATCATGGAACACATCATGGAACACATAACGGAACACATAACGGAACACATCATGGAACACATAACGGAACACATCATGGAACACATAACGGAACACATAACGGAACACATCATGGAACACATCATGGAACACATAACGGAACACATAACGGAACACACAACACGGAACACATCATGGAACACATACGGAACACATCATGGAACACATAACGGAACACATAGGAACACATCATGGAACACATAACGGAACACATCATGGAACACATAACGGAACACATAACGGAACACATCATGGAACACATCATGGAACACATAACGGAACACATAATGGAACACATCATGGAACACATAACGGAACACATCATGGAACACATCATGGAACACATCATGGAACACATAACGGAACACATCATGGAACACATAACGGAACACATCATGGAACACATCATGGAACACATCATGGAACACATAACGGAACACATCATGGAACACATCATGGAACACATAACGGAACACATCATGGAACACATCATGGAACACATAACGGAACACATAACGGAACACATAACGGAACACATCATGGAACACATAACGGAACACATCATGGAACACATAACGGAACACATCATGGAACACATCATGGAACACATCATGGAACACATCATGGAACACATCATGGAACACATCATGGAACACATCATGGACCTTCAGAACACGGGGATCCAAGCCAGACCAGTCTTTACAGTGAGATACTACACGTGAGAAATGTTTGGGTCTGAAATGAAAATACTGCATAAATATTGATGTTCCCAAGAGATGTGTAGGGTCAGAGAGTTATTGGGCCACTGTGTTGTGTTATGTTGTATATGTACAGTATGTGTGTATGTGTGTATGTATGTATATGTACAGGTATATGTGTGTGTGTGTATGTCAAACTGAAATGTCCCTATTGTGGGACGAACAAAGGATCTTCTTCTAATCAATCTTTTAGTTGACAAAGTAAACTAAATGTGTAAATGTCTCCATTGTGAGATCAATAAAGTTTAACTCTGAACCTGTCGTGTTATTGTCCTGAACAACACAGCATTGTTCATTCTGCAGACTGCACACAAATCTGGTGAATGTCCAAAAGTGGGCAGTAACTCCATCTGGGTAAAGACCCATATATGGGAAAAAGCAAGAGGGAGCTGAGGCCAAGTCTGAAGAAAACAGTGAAGCCAAATAATGTCACCTGGAGTGAGGAGAAGAGACGGCACAGAGCCAAACGAGCTGTGATGAAAGAAATATGCAGCAGGAGGACGTTAATAACAGACTAAATTCAGCACAAACAAGACAAATACATGAAACTCTGGGGCTGGAATCAGAAACATGAAAGATGAGAAACTCGATTCTCTTTCTTCTAAACCATAGTGACTTCTGCGGATTGATGATGATCTTAGTTAAACAGGCCAATTTCACTTTGAGATCATATACACAAGTTCACTGTGTCATCCATCCAACTTCAGCTCAGCCAATACAGACCTTGTTCTAAGGCCTAGTACGTCTGGAATTCAGTCATTGTCATTCAGCCAACTTCAGCTCTGTTACAGATCATCATAAAGCTCAGAACAGCCCGATACCAGTCAAGACAGTTTTTCAGTCCGTGACGTCGGCCCCTGGACTAGTCTGGTGAACTAAAGTGGTCCTCTTAATAAAAAGTTTGGACACCCCGGCCTTAGAGGGCATAAACTACATCAGTGACTGACCGTGTCTCCGATCTTGAGGCCGGAGCAGGACTTGAGGCCGGGGATGACCTCTCCGTTCAAACAGGTGGCGTTGAACGACAGCGACAGCTCCTCTGGGACGCCCAGGAGCTCCAACTCCACTTTGGACCGGATTCTCTGAGCAAAACAGAAATTCACATTCAGTACGAAACTCAAAACTCTGCTGCACCAAACGGCTCAGACCCCTTTAATCCCAGATTGATTATAAAAATAGTTTCTCATCCGTGAAACTAAGGCTGAGAATCTTTCAGAGTCAGACACAAACAAAACACCGGAACTTTCAAGTTGATACAATTTAAAACTATATATTTCTAAACAATTCAATCCAATTCAGTGAAAAATCAGTCCAGACAGTAGCTCTCTGCTGTGGGTCCAGACAGTAGCTCTGTGCTGTGGATCCAGACAGTAGCTCTCTGCTGTGGGTCCAGACAGTAGCTCTCTGCTGTGGATCCAGACAGTAGCTCTCTGCTGTGGATCCAGACAGTAGCTCTCTGCTGTGGATCCAGACAGTAGCTCTCTGCTGTGGATCCAGACAGTAGCTCTCTGCTGTGGGTCAGTCCAGACAGTAGCTCTCTGCTGTGGGTCCAGACAGTAGCTCTCTGCTGTGGATCCAGACAGTAGCTCTCTGCTGTGGGTCAGTCCAGACAGTAGCTCTCTGCTGTGGGTCCAGACAGTAGCTCTCTGCTATGGATCCAGACAGTAGCTCTGTGCTGTGGGTCCAGACAGTAGCTCTCTGGAATTTTCTTGTACAAAGTTGGCCCAAACACTCGAGTGGCTCCACCACTGCAGCGGCATCTGGCCCTGTGTGTGTGTGTGTGTGTCACTTACAGCGTAGGCCTTCAGTATCAGTTGTGTGTGTGTCTCTCTGTGTGTGTGTGTGTGTCTCTCTCTCTGTGTGTGTGTCACTTACAGCGTAGGCCTTCAGTATCAGTTGTGTGTGTCTGTGTGTGTGTGTGTGTGTGTGTGTCACTTACAGCGTAGGCCTTCAGTATCAGTTGTGTGTGTGTGTGTGTCTGTGTGTGTGTGTGTCACTTACAGCGTAGGCCTTCTGTATCAGTTGTGTGTGTGTGTGTGTCTCTCTGTGTGTGTGTGTGTCACTTACTGCGTAGGCCTTCAGTATCAGCTGTGTGTGTGTCTCTCTGTGTGTGTGTGTCACTTACAGCGTAGGCCTTCAGTATCAGTTGTGTGTGTGTGTCTCTCTCTGTGTGTGTGTCACTTACAGCGTAGGCCTTCAGTATCAGTTGTATCACGTTGCCGGAGTCGTTGGACAGAGTTCCCACTGTAGTTCCAGGGATCAGCTCACTGTAGTTCTACAAGACAAAGACATAGGTTCTAATCCCCTCCAGGTTTCTTCTGTAGTGTGTGTTCTGGACTCTGAGTGTGTAATGAAGCTTTATATCTATCTCTCACGTCTGAAACCAATAAGTCTCAAATAACACAGACTCAGACTCACTAAAAAAACTAAAACATCCATAAAAACCCTCTCTTTCTGACATGACCATCACACGGCACAGATCCAAGTCCAAACATATCTTTCTACTTTGGATAAACGACATTCACCTCCACTATTGTTGCGTGATACTGTTTACTTTGTCCAATTCTTCCAAAACAAGGTCCAAGAATTTAGCTTAAAACCAACGAGGTCTGGCGCTCGGTCAGAAAGTGCCAAATGTGGAGATTACAGGCGTGTGTGTGTGTGTGTGTGTGTGTGTGTGTGTGTGTGTGTGTGTGTGCATGCTTGTGTGTGTGTGTGTGTGTGTGTGTGTGTGTGTGTGTGTGTGTGTGTGTGTGTGTGTGTGCATGCTTGTGTGTGTGTGTGTGTGTGCATGCTTGTGTGTGTGTGTGTGTGTGTGTGTGCATGCTTGTGTGTGTGTGTGTGCACTTGTTTTCAACTCCTGGTGGGTTCCATAACCTGAGATTCCACTCACGTCATGGGGACTGGTTTTACGTGGTGGGGCCCGAACACCGGACCCCACTGGTCCAAGCTTAATAATCAATGGGTAATGCTTTTCTAACGGTCCTTATGCAGTCTCTGTAAAAATATGGAAAGGACCCCTGGAGGTTTACTTTCCTGAAAAAAGTGTGTTATGTGTCGGAACCCTGGTGGTGGGTTGCGGGATATCAAGGAGGGGCACACTGGGGCAATTTCAGTCCAGCAGGCTGGAGCCAATCATGGAGCAGCACAACAGAGGAAATCAGGTGTCAGGCTAGAAAAAGGTGCAAGTGTGTGGTTCATTAGGCTGCAAGAAATCATGGAGGAGCACACTGAAGCGCACGCTTACAAACCACTGGTAAGTGCTGACTACAAGTCATGACTTCAAATTGTTATATAGAATGATTACAAATTATTTGTTGTTTGTGCAGCTTAGTCAAGAGTCCCTAATTGATGAAGTCGACTCAGATTCTGACGATTTAACTGTCAAGAAGAAACCTGTAAAAAAGTATGGAAAAAGAAAAATCAAAAACACTTTTCTTCAAGACTCGGAAAGTGACGAACCAAAGGCAAATAAGATTGTTATCATGCAGCTGCAAAAGAAGAAAAATGGGGGGCGAGTATACAGCAAGAGACACTTCTGCCTCTACTGTTCAATGTCCTGCCACAAAATGTCCCGTCATTTGACTAGAAAACATGGAAATGAAAGTGACGTAGCCAGAGCATTGGCTCTACCTGTGAAATCTAAAGCACGTAAACTTCAGTTTGATTTGATCAGGAATAGTGGAAACCGTGAGCACAATTTTGAGGTTTTAAAGGCCGGCATTGGAACTTTAGTCCCAGCTAAACAGCCAAATTGCCCAGTTAAATCCAGTGAGTTTTTGCACTGTATAGACTGTGGGGCATTGCTTAAGCGAAAGTCGCTGTGGAGGCATGTGGCCAGGTGCCGGCTTTCACAGAAAGATGCCCAGGCTAAACCAGGTAGAAGTAGGGTCCAGTCCCTCTGCTCCCTAGCCCAGCCTGTACCGGAGGGCATCAGCAAAAAGCTGTGGTCTTTAATTTCGGCAATGCATCAGGATGAGGTCACGGGTGTTGTCAAAGCAGAAAAGGGGATTCTGAGACTCGGAGAGCACCTGTACTTAAAACACGGGCATGATAAGACAAAGCATGATTACATTAGGCAGAAAATGAGAGAAGTCGGTAGGTTAATTAACGAAGCAAAAACCGCAGGGAAACTGAAAACAATTAAGGATTTCTTTATTCCTTCCAACTTTAACCATGTGATTGATGCAGTCAGGTCTGTGGCTGGATATGATGAGGAAACAAATCAATACAAGACTCCATCCTTGGCCCTCAAACTCGGCCATAGCCTCAGAAAGCTAGCAGATATTCTTGAATGTGACTCAAAAATGGAGCATTGTGTTGATGAACTATTTATTAAAAACCTCCAACGAAGCCGGCTGCTTTTTGAGAAGAGGTGGGACGTCTGTGTTTCTTCTGCTGCCCTACAGACCCTCCGGCAAGCCAAGTGGAACACTCCGGACCTGCTCCCTCTGACTGAGGACGTTAGAGCCATGCATGCACATATTGAGGTATGTCGACCTGAATATGTGCAAACCCTAATAAGTGAGCCAACGTCTAAGCATTGGTCTAAACTGGCAGTTTTGACTCTTTGTGAGGTCATCATTTTCAATCGAAGAAGGGAAGGTGAGGTTTCAAAGATGCCACTGACAGCCTTTACCTTAAGAAGTAAGACTGGGATCCATTCTGACATTGCTCTGGGACTGTCCCAACTTGAGAAAAAGCTGTGTCAGCATTTTCAACGCATTGAAATTAAAGGGAAAAGAAGTCGGAAAGTGCCGGTTCTTTTGACTCCTGAAATGATTGCTTCGATGGAGGTGCTGGTGGAGAACAGAAGGGCCTGTTCCATCTCTGACCATAACCCATACTTCTTTTCCCGCCCGGGCGCAGACACCCACATCAGGGGATCAGACTCCCTACGCCAGGTAGCCAAAGAATGTGGTGCGGTGCATCCAGAGATGCTATCCTCAACCAAACTTAGAAAGCACATAGCTACTATGTCTACAGTTCTCAATATGAAAGAGAATGAGATGGACATACTTGCCAACTTCCTCGGCCATGACATTCGCATCCACAGGCAATATTACAGACTACCAGAGGGGACACTGGAGCTGGCCAAAATCAGCAAAGTGTTGATGGCCATGGAGCAGGGAAGAGTGACGGAATTCGAAGGAAAGAGCCTCGACCAGATACAAATTGAGCCTGAAGGTAATTCTTGATATTATTAAAATATGTATGATTTTTTTCCCCTAAAGGCCACTTGTATTTTTATTTTCTGTGCGACAGGGAGAGCAGTAGAGATCCTCTCACAAACGGACGGGCTAAAAGAAACTTCAAGCGGAGAACCTTCAACCATTCATCCAGATGCACCCCATGGTAGTGGCAGTGCCCCTTCTGGTAAGTGTACCAGGTGGGGGATTACAGCCAGGCTGCTTGGTCCTCACCCTGGGAGTGTATATTGCTAATATATTTTTATTTCTCTCCCTAGAACGTGTAAGAAAGCCATGGTCTGCATCTGAGGTGAAGGCTGTGGAGAAGACCATGACACCTTTCATACAGACTGGAAAGGTCCCTGGGAAGTCTCACTGCCTGGCCTGCATTAATGCCTCACCAGATGACCTTAGACATCGGACATGGAGTGGCATTAAATTCTATGTCAAAAATAGAATCACTGCAATTCGAAAACAAAATCTAAAATAAAATTCCTTTAAAATAGTTGTTTGGTTTCTATTGACTGTTTTGTATTACTTAAAGTCTTGGTAAAAAAAGATTATGTCTATGGGTCCCATTCTGAACGGCCCTGTCAAAGGGACCCACCAGGTAACAAAAACGTGTATGTGTGTGCATGCTTGTGTGTGTGTGTGTGTGTGTGTGTGTGTGTGTGTGTGTATCTGTAAGTAAGTAAGTAATCTTTATTTATAAACCGCCTCTGTGTGTGTGTGTAACTGTCTGTCTGTGTGTGTGCACGTTTGTGTGTGTGTATCTGTGTGTATTATGTGTCTCGTCTTATTTGTATGGTCCCTTTAATTTATTTATTTTATTTCATTTTGTGTTACTGTTATGTTTATATGTACGCACATATGTGTATGTATGTATATCATGGTTTTACACTGGTCCATGGAACCAGAGCAGAGAGGATTCATGGTTTTACACTGGTCCAGACCAGAGCAGAGAGGATTCATGGTTTTACACTGGTCCAGACCAGAGCAGAGAGGATTCATGGTTTTACACTGGTCCAGACCAGAGCTGTAGTTTATGACATGATGATGAAGGTTTTATTGTATTACTGGACATATTTTGGGGGAAAATGTTCTTGGAAAAACAAACGTTTCCAAAAGTGAAATGTCTGGATGGAAAGTTGAAGCTGTTTTTCTCGGGTCTGAGCAGATTTCACTTTTATCAAAGTTGAAGAGATGAAGATGTAGTAAATATGAAGGAAATACAATCTGTCTGTGTAACAAATACTTACTGTTTGAGTGATTCCATTTCCCAGAAGTGACTGTTTACGTCGGGACCACTTCAGAGACGCACCCCGACCCCATCTCGTCGCCGTGGCAACACTCACAACTACACAATAAAGTGTGTCGAGGAAAGAGCAGGAGGAAACCTTCACTGACCCTGAGTCACAAAGAAGGATTTCAAAACAACAGTGTTTTGTCTAAATGTTTTATCCATTGATAAAAAGTGAAGCAGTGACTCTAAACCAACACGACTCTCTTGGAAACAGGATCTTAGTCTCAATGGGACTTTCCTGGATAAATAAAGGTTAAAAATAAAAAAATAAAATAGAAGCAGTTTTATGGATCTTTTTTGTTTTCTCTGCCAATCTATAACTTCTAGCAATGTTAAAGATGAAATTAAAATGTTAGGGGCCGGCCTCCTGCTGCTAAAATCTGGAACAGTCTTCTTGAAAATGTGACAATGTTCAAATCCACAACTGAAGGATTGTATCTTCACTCTTGTTTTTATGCTGCACAGTGTTTATTTATTTGAAAGCTTTAACAAACGATATAAACAATGATACAGATTGTGTATATTTTGTTACGCACTTTGACTTGTGCTTTGTGTATGAGCTGTGCTTTGCCTTATTTAGACCCAAACGCAACGATCAGGAACAAACTCACAAATAAAAAATGACCCAAACATTTATAGGGATTTTCTGTTCTGTCTGCACATTTTTGTATCATCAGAGGCCAAAACTACAGAGCACTCCAAACGATGCTCAAACAGATTCAGATAAATTACTTACAGATTTGTGTTTTAGAGAAAAAATGTTTGTGTTTTAGGAAGTTCAAGATTTGTAAATGTTGTAATTGTAAATAGTTTGAATATTTAGAAGAGTCTGACATCTAGTGGTGGTGTGTGTAATGGCAAATATGACTGTTGTGCAGTTTTGTATTATCTGAATACTTGTAGTATTTTGTGATCTCGAGTATCACGTGAACAAATTCCCTCTGAATGCCTCACAGCGAAGTAAAAAACATTGAGACAGTAGTATCCGCAGAATGTGTATGTGCTGAGGCGTGAGTTCATACTACCCACAAGGGGGCAGTATACGCTAAGACTCTGAGATAGACCCATGGAAACCATGGAAACGGACAGTTCTAAAGTTCTAAAGTCAGCAAACTCAAAAATGTCTATAAATGGCATTTTCACTCTTTTTAATGAACTGTGATTATATATCTTTTTAGTGCCTTGTGCGATTTGCACTTTTACCATACATTTTTTGTTTTGTTTGACTTGCCTTGAGTATGAGCTGTGCTATATACATATAAACTGGCCTTATAATTAGTGCTAATACATTTCTCGACGAAGAAGATTGATTTAACGTCATAACTTGTGTTAGCTTCTGGCAGCTAGCGTTTAGCGTCGAGTGCGTGTAGCATGTTGCTAACTCTGTAAAATCTATCTCGTTTTCCCAAACCGAACTTTAACCAAATAATTTTTTCCTGATCGTAACTTTGACTGTGAATCTTAAACGACAACTTTTATAAATAAATAAAAACAAAATGAGAATGTTTCCCTCTGTCTGGGACGAAACACCAAGACTTTAGTGAGTCCGTCTTGTAATCTAGGTATTTCATCCCGGAGCAAGATAACCTTTATTTATTATTTATTATAGTACAAAATGATGTTCATGAATGTTTTTGATGGGAGAAATGTTGGGCAGAATGGAAGAATGTATTTGTTAAAAAACACATCAAATTAAATTGATTCGAAATGTCCCCACTGTGGGACGAATAAAGCTTATCTTATTATCTTAGATGTAGGTCTACTGTAACTTCTGCTGCGTTGCTGATAAGCATATAATCATATAACCCTACACCAAATGATCTGTTCCTAACCATAATTTAAACTTTAATCACAAAATCAACAAAATAGTTTGCCCGGGACGAAACACCAAGATGTTATAGACTTCTGGGTGTAAGTAGCATTCTTGTAGATAACATTAACTGATTAAAAGGTAATACATGTTTAAATATATTTACATATTCTACAACCACCCCAGCTCACCGGGCCAGGTGGAGTTCACATGTCGCTCCATGGTCGCTCCTCCCCGGGCTCTCCTCATGGCCTTGCCCCGCCCCTCAGCCTCTTTCTCGGGGTTACTGTGAGAAAATGGGCGTGGCTCCACATTTGCCTGTTTCTGGATGTGAGGCTTTGGTCTTCTTCTGAAACAGCTCGTTCTTGCAGCTTGTTGGCAGTCCCATCAGAGCCAGGATGGGCGCTTTCCCCAGGCGCTATGGCTCTTTATGGCTCTATGTGATTATTATTATTATTATTGTTATTACTACAGCAGGGAGAGCAGTTTGGGGTGAGTTTACATTCATCATGCTTTGTATATGTTTATCAGGCTATAGCTGTCACCTAAACATATACTTTCATTATTACTGTATTACTAGTACTGTATGCACTTTTTGATGATGAGTTCTGCTGTTTTGAATGACTGTCACTTCTTTCAAGGCTCTAACGTGTGCACATCCAGAGGGGCCAGCACATGTAAGCAGTGTCTGGCCGTTCACCCCAGCTGTGCATGGTGTGTTCAAGAGGTGGGTTTGCCTGCGCTCTTTTTCATGCTTATAAATGCCAGTCTTTGCTTGGCTCAGTGAACCTCTATTCTCTTCCCTGCCACCCAGAGACAATGGTTATAGCCCACTGCTTCCAGTCTGTGTGACTCATTTCTCAAAGATATTAAAGCTGGGGTACCGATTTTTAAACCACAAACATGGACTCTGTAATAAAACCCATGTTACTTACTGGTTCTCAAAACAGTTTTGGTCAATACTTTTCACGTGCATGTTTTTGGCCTCACATCTTTACATCAGATTTTTCAAACAGAAAGAGAGAAGACCACCCCCATTCAACCAATCAGCTCTGAGCCCATGGAGGCAAATACAGACTCACAGGGCAGGGAATGTCTTCTATGCGATCTTTCTTGTTGGCAAATCCGTTTAGTGTTGTCCAGATTTGGTTTGGTCTTTGGTTTTGCTTTCTGGTGGACCTACAATTGTTTTTTGTCAAGTTACGTACCCCAGCTTTAATCAAAGTGGTAACTGTTTTGGGATTTTCTGTCTTGTAACCGCAACTAGTGATTTACCCAACTCAATTTGGAACATTCTTCCTGAAAATGTGAGACAGGCCTCTTCTCTGACAATGTTTAAATCTATGTTTAAAACAGTTTAGCTGAGGGACTTTATATTTTTATCTTTCTTTTGAATGTACAGTTATTATTTAAAATGTTAAGGCTATCTTGATTTGTTCAGGACTTTGAGTTGCCTTTTGTATGAAGTGTGCTATACAGATAAACTTGCCTTGCCTTCATGCAATATTATATAATGATATCAATATGATTATTTTCAAGATATAGATTTTATACTTGTTATTGATGCTGGAGTTAGATATTTTGTTTTATTTAATTATTATAGCTATTGTTCATTTATCTTGTGCCGTGTGCTCCTCTTTCCTACTGTTCTATAACTTGCAACATTGAAATTTCCCCACTGTGGGACGAATAAACTACGACCTGTCCCAGTGGATCCTGGACTACCTCACAGACAGACCCCAGTTTGTGAGAACCAGGGACTTTGTGTCGGAGGTCCTGACCTGCAGTGTGGGGGGCCCCCCAGGGAACAGTCCTCGCACCGTTCCTCTTCACCCTCTACACTGTGGACTTCAGACACAACACGGACGGTTGTGTTCTACAGAAGTTCTTAGACGACTCTGCCATCATCGGACTCAGCTCCCAGGACGATGACACAGAGTACAGAAGAGTTATACAGGACTTTGTGGACTGGTGTCAGCGGAACCACTTCCTCATCAACGCGAGGAAGACCAAGGAGATGAACCACCTCCTCATCAACGTGAGGAAGACCAAGGAGATGAACCACCTCCTCATCAACGTGAGGAAGACCAAGGAGATGAACCACCTCCTCATCAACGTGAGGAAGACCAAGGAGATGAACCACCTCCTCATCAACGCGGGGAAGACCAAGGAGATGAACCACCTCCTCATCAACGCGGGGAAGACCAAGGAGATGAACCACCTCCTCATCAACGTGAGGAAGACCAAGGAGATGAACCACCTCCTCATCAACGTGAGGAAGACCAAGGAGATGAACCACCTCCTCATCAACGTGAGGAAGACCAAGGAGATGAACCACCTCCTCATCAACGTGAGGAAGACCAAGGAGATGAACCACCTCCTCATCAACGTGAGGAAGACCAAGGAGATGAACCACCTCCTCATCAACGCGGGGAAGACCAAGGAGATGAACCACCTCCTCATCAACGCGAGGAAGACCAAGGAGATGAACCACCTCCTCATCAACGTGAGGAAGACCAAGGAGATGAACCACCTCCTCATCAACGCGGGGAAGACCAAGGAGATGAACCACCTCCTCATCAACGCGAGGAAGACCAAGGAGATGAACCACCTCCTCATCAACGTGAGGAAGACCAAGGAGATGAACCACCTCCTCATCAACGCGGGGAAGACCAAGGAGATGGTGGTGGATTTCCGTAGACGTCACTCTGCCGCTCCAGCTCCAGTGAACATCCAGGGAAAGGACATTGAGAGAGTGGACTCTTACAAGTACCTGGGTGTTCATCTGAACCACAAACTGGACTGGACTCATAACACAGACGCCCTCTTCAAGAAGGGCCAGAGTCGCCTCTACCTACTGAGGAGGCTCAGGTCTTTTGGAGTGCAGGGGCCACTCCTGAAGACCTTCTATGACTCTGTGGTGGCATCAGCCTCTTGTACGGTGTGTTCTGCTGGAACAGCAGCAACACAGAGAGGGACAGGAAGAAGCTGGAACATCAGGAAGTCCAGCTCAGTCCTGGGCTGTTCCTTGGACACAGTGCAGCAGGTGGGGGACAGGAGGGTCCTGAGCAAACTAACATCTGCTGGACCATGACTGTCGCCCCCTGCAGGACACTCTCTCTGCTCTGGAGAGCAGCTTCAGTGACAGACTAATTCACCCTCGCTGTGTGAAGGAGAGGTTCCGTACGTCTTTCCTTCCTGCTGCTGTCAGACTGTACAATAAGAACTGCTGAGTCTGTAAATTTCATTCATCTGTAATTAAGTAAATTCTTAAATCATGTGCAATGTGCAATACTGCAACTTCAGGATGTCACAGAACAATGTCTCTTTACCTCATGTCACTTTACTTATATACTTTTTATCCTGCACTATTTAACTGAGAATCAGCACCTCCAAATCTGAGGCCATGGTGCTCGACCGGAAAAAGGTGCCCTGCCCTCTTCAGGTGGGTGGAGAGGTCCTTCCTCAAGTGGAGGAGTTCAAGTATCTCGGGGTCTTGTTCACGAGTGAGGGAAGAATGGAGCGTGAGATTGACAGGCGGATCGGTGCAGCGTGCGCAGTGATGCGGCCGCTGTATCGGACCGTTGTGGTAAAGAGGGAGCAGCGTCTGCAGTCAGAGCTGTATCGGACCGTTGTGGTAAAGAGGGAGCTGAGCCGAAAGGCAAAGCTCTTGATTTACCGGTCAATCTTCGTTCCCTCCCTCACCTATGGTCATGAGCTTTGGGTAATGACCGAAAGAACGAGATCGCGGATACAAGCGGTCGAAATGAGCTTCCTCCGCAGAGTGGCTGGGCGCTCCCTTAGAGATAGGGTGAGGAGCTCAGTCACACGGGAGGAGCTCGGAGTAGAGCCGCTGCTTCTCCACGTCGAGAGGAACCAGTTGAGGTGGCTCGGGCATCTGTTCCGGATGCCTCCTGGACGCCTCCCTGGGGAGGTGTTCCGGGCACGTCCCACCGGGAGGAGGCCCCGCGGAAGACCAAGGACACGCTGGAGGGACTATGTCTCTCAGCTGGCCTGGGAACTTCTTGGGGTCCCCCCGGACGAGCTGGAGGAAGTGTGTGTGGATAGGGAAGTCTGGGCGTCTCTGCTTAGACTGCTGCCCCCGCGACCCGGCAACGCATAAAGCGGAAGAAAATGGATGGATGGATGGATATTTAACTGTACAGTATATAACTGCACTACTACATATATACATTTTGACTGGTATTGAAGCATTTTCAGCATCTACAGCTAGTTATATTAGTTAAGAAACATAGCTACTACTTATTTGTATATAGTGTATATATTGTGTGCTCCCTGTGTGCTCTTACTACTGTCCTGTCTGTGCGATGCAACATCGACATTTCCCCACTGTGGGACGAATAAAGGAATTCTTATCTTATCTTATAAAGGATCTCTTAATCTTAATCTTAATCTTGATAGTCACATGCATCGTACCAGTGATCACAGAGTTGGAATGTCCCTGTGTTGTGTCAGGACTTTGGCCATGGTATCGTCAGCTCGTCCCGCTGTGATCTGAAGAGGAACCTGGAGGCTTCGGGCTGCGCTGCCTCCTCCATCGAGTCCCCCCACAGTAAACTGCAGGTGATGGAGGACCGGCCCCTGAGCAGCAAAGCAGCAGGGGCCACACAGGACGTCACTCAGATCAGACCTCAGAGACTTCACGTCACACTCAGACCAGGTACGAAGCCGCGGGAACATTCTATCTCTGTGAATGTATCGTTACAGTTGGAAGTTTGCAGACCTAGGCACTAACAGCAAGACCTGCTGATCCAAGATGGCGTCCTGCTCAAATGAAGGGCTCGTGCTCAGTAGTTCATGGGACTTCACGGGCGCTGACATATCAGAGGAACTCGCCTATATTTGGGCATTGTCTGGTCCTCCCGGTTCTGTGCAGTGGACGAGCTCCCATGATGCTTTGCGCCAAATACGCACACAGAGGGGCTCGGCCGCGCTTTGACCAATCAGAGCTGATGATCAGAGCAGCGATAGAGCTGTAGTGTTGTGCTTGTGTGTGTGTTGTGCTTGTGGTGTGTGTGTGTGTGTGTGTGTTGTGCTTGTGTGTGTGTGGTGCTTTGGTGTGTGTGTGTGTGTGTTGTGTGTGTGTGTTGTGCGTATGTCAGGTGTGTGTTGTGCATGGTGTTGTGTGTGTGTGTGTTGTGCTTGTGGTGTGTGTGTGTGTGTTGTGCTTGTGTGTGTGTGGTGCTTGTGTGTGTGTGTGTGTGTGTGTGTTGTGTGTGTGTGTGTTGTGCGTATGTCAGGTGTGTGTTGTGCATGGTGTTGTGTGTGTGTGTGTTGTGCTTGTGTGTGTGTGTTGTGCTTGTGGTGTGTGTTGTGTTGTGTGTGTGATTATTGTGTTTGTGTTGTTTTGAATTCTGCCAGCCTACAATGACAGCCTACAGTCTAATGTGGTAGTTGTGGATGAGGCCAATATCCTGTCTGATGGTAAGACTGTCCACTTCCTGTAAATTCCTGGACTACCTGGCATGAACTGTGCATTTGAGATCTTCCCAGACTGACTCAGTGATATAATTGTAATGCTATAATTTGACAAGTTATTACAAAGTATGAAGTTCAAACCTGAATTACAAAGAACCGTTTTCTCTTCCTGCTGAAATACTTCCTAAACGTAAACATTCGTCCCAAACTTAAACATATTTGATCTGTTTTTTGTGTTCTAGATGATGCCAAGCGTTTCGTTGTGAAAGTGCGTCAGGTGGAGGACTACCCCGTGGACCTGTACTACCTGATGGACTTGTCTTACTCCATGAACGACGACCTGTTCCGGTTGAGAACCTTGGGCCGTGGTTTGGCCGAGGCCATGAACCGCACCACCAGTAACCTCCGCATGGGCTTCGGGGCCTTCGTGGACAAGCCGCTGTCTCCTTATATGTACATCTCACCCCAGGAAGCCGTGAACAACCCGTGTTTCAGGTACGCTGTCTCCTTATATGTACATCTCACCACAGGAAGCCGTGAACAACCCGTGTTTCAGGTACCACACACACCCATCAACATGTTAGCTTAGGCTAGTCTCAAATTATGGATGAGAATGTGTTAAAATAATCTCTTTTGTCTGCTTTGTTTACTTAAAAGTCAGCGCTCTGTGACAGACACATCTGCTTTGTCCTTTTTATATTGAATATTATTAACAGATGTGTTATCCTATTTTCTCTGCATTTTATACTGTAAATGTACATATTCACAGATTTGTAAACTGAGTAGTTCCATCCAGATTATTCTATTCTCACAAAGATTATCTCATTATTATTATTATTATTATTTTTAGATTGTTACTTTAACGTTATTATTATTTATTTATTTTATTGTGGAATATTCTGCAAGCGACTGTGGACCAATAAAGTCTAAAAGAGTGAGTCAAATTAAAAGTTAATTATGACTGTTTTATATTTAAGGATTATAAGATTATTTTACTTTAATAAGAGAAAGAGTGTGAAGAAGTTAGTAATGATTAAAAACTTCAAACCAGTAATGTCTAAACCATATGTATCTGAACCATAAGTGTCTAAACCATATGTATCTGAACCATAAGTGTCTAAACCATATGTATCTAAACCATATGTATCTGAACCATATGTGTCTAAACCATATGTGTCTAAACCATGTGTGTCTAAACCATATGTATCTGAACCATAAGTGTCTAAACCATATGTATCTAAACCATAAGTGTCTAAACCATATGTATCTAAACCATATGTATCTAAACCATATGTGTCTAAACCATATGTGTCTAAACCATGTGTGTCTAAACCATGTGTATCTGAACCATATGTATCTGAACCATATGTATCTAAACCATATGTGTCTAAACCATATGTGTCTAAACCATATGTATCTAAACCATATATATCTAAACCATATGTGTCTAAACCATATGCGTCTAAACCATATGCGTCTAAACCATATGCGTCTAAACCATATGCGTCTTAACCATATGCGTCTAAACCATGTGTGTCTAAACCATGTGTGTCTAAACCATGTGTGTCTAAACCATGTGTATCTAAACCATGTGTATCTAAACCACATGTATCGGAACCATATGTATCTAAACCATATGTATCGGAACCATATGTATCTAAACCATATGTATCGGAACCATGTATCTAAACCACATGTATCTAAACCACATGTATCTAAACCATATGTATCTAAACCATAGTCTGTATCTAAACCACATGTATCGGAACCATATGTATCTAAACCATATGTATCTAAACCATATGTGTCTAAACCATATGTATCTAAACCATATGTATCTAAACCATATGTATCGGAACCATATGTATCTAAACCATATGTATCTAAACCATATGTGTCTAAACCATATGTATCTAAACCATATGTATCTGAACCATATGTATCTAAACCATATGTGTCTAAACCATATGTGTCTAAACCATATGTGTCTAAACCATATGTATCTAAACCATATGTATCTAAACCATATGTATCTAAACCATATGCGTCTAAACCATATGCATCTAAACCATATGCGTCTAAACCATATGTGTCTAAACCATATGTATCTAAACCATATGTATCTAAACCATGTGTGTCTAAACCATATGTATCTGAACCATATGCATCTAAACCATATGTGTCTAAACCATATGTATCTAAACCATATGTGTCTAAACCATATGTGTCTAAACCATATGTATCTAAACCATATGTGTCTAAACCATATGTGTCTAAACCATATGTGTCTAAACCATATGTCTCAAACCATATGTGTCTAAACCATAGTCTGTATCTAAACCATAGACTGTATCTGAACCATATGTATCTAAACCATATGTGTCTAAACCATATGTATCTAAACCATATGTATCTAAACCATATGTGTCTAAACCATATGTGTCTAAACCATGTGTGTCTAAACCATGTGTATCTGAACCATATGTATCTAAACCATATGTATCTAAACCATATGTATCTAAACCATATGTGTCTAAACCATATGTGTCTAAACCATATGTATCTAAACCATATGTATCTAAACCATATGTGTCTAAACCATATGTATCTAAACCATATGTATCTAAACCATATGTGTCTAAACCATATGTGTCTAAACCATATGTATCTAAACCATATGTATCTAAACCATATGTGTCTAAACCATATGTGTCTAAACCATATGTATCTAAACCATATGTATCTAAACCATATGTGTCTAAACCATATGTGTCTAAACCATATGTATCTGAACCATATGTCTCAAACCATATGTGTCTAAACCATAGACTGTATCCAAATGCTCCAAAAGAGAAAACCATGAATGAAATGACCATGGACAGAGACTCTCCTCACACTCACACATGAACCTTCTAAGTCTTAACAATTGTCAAAAGGCTGTTTCTTTTCCGTTGTTGGAATAACGTCGGTCAAATCTTTCGTCTTATTCGGGTTTTTAAAGAAAACAGACTCAAACCACACAATGCTTTTTCACTTTTGTTCTTGGATTAATGTTCTTCAACGACCTGTTTAATGGAAAGCAGCAGCAGTAGTTTAGTCTAGTTTTAACAATGTTGTTTTAGTTTGACCATCTCCCGGTGGTTGTTTTGGTGCTGGTGGTGATGTCATTGTTGTGGCTCTACCTCCACACAGTCATTTAAACATGACGGAGTGAGAGAGCTGGTGTTTAGGTCTGAGAGGGTTGCCAGGTCAGCTGTTCTGGGCTAACCACCTGAAGGAGTCACAGCGAGGGAGACGCTTATGTAGAGAATTCTGTTGGGTCTTTGTGGGTTTGTGTGATAATTATCTGAGATCAGGCTTCCACAAACTACTGTTTTTATTATTATTACCAGGGCTGCACATTACATTAAAGCTGTGGTACCTACATTTTCCCGATCATTAATAATGCATAATAATGTTGGTTGTGCCCAAAAGTAAATTGTTGGATTGAGTGGATTATCTGAGCTGATCGAAGCTTTAGCAAAAAGAAGCAAGTATAAAATCTCCATTCTCCACCAGGCGACAAAAGGAGTGAGAACCAAACACCATCTGCTGGTGCTTCATCTGAGAACCTCACTGAAAACGTTCTGTCCACCCCTGATTATTACATCTGATGTTTCTGTCGCTAACTCACTTCACCTGCTGATATCATCACTATTGTTTATTCATACTCTGCTGCTAAAGTACAACATACACGACTGTAAATAACACCAGAGAGTAGCGTGTTCCAGAGAGTAGCGTGTTCCAGAAAGTCCAGCAGTAGCGTGTTCCAGAGAGTAGCGTGTTCCAGAGAGTAGCGTGTTCCAGAGAATAGCATGTTCCAGAGAGTAGCGTGTTCCAGAGAATAGCATGTTCCAGAGAGTAGCGTGTTCCAGAGAATAGCATGTTCCAGAGAGTAGCGTGTTCCAGAGAGTTGCATGTTCCAGAGGGTCCAGCAGTAGCGTGTTCCAGAGAGTATAGCAGTAGCGTGTTCCAGAGAGTCGCGTGTTCCAGAGAGTCGCGTGTTCCAGAGAGTCGCGTGTTCCAGAGAGTAGCGTGTTCCAGAGAGTCGCGTGTTCCAGAGAGTAGCGTGTTCCAGAGAGTTGCGTGTTCCAGAGAGTTGCGTGTTCCAGAGAGTAGCGTGTTCCAGAGAGTCGCGTGTTCCAGAGAGTCGCGTGTTCCAGAGAGTAGCGTGTTCCAGAGAGTTGCGTGTTCCAGAGAGTCATGTGTTCCAGAGAGTAGCGTGTTCCAGAGAGTCGCGTGTTCCAGAAAGTCCAGCAGTAGCGTGTTCCAGAGAGTAGCGTGTTCCAGAGAGTAGCGTGTTCCAGAGAGTAGCATGTTCCAGAGAGTAGCGTGTTCCAGAGAGTCCAGCAGTAGCGTGTTCCAGAGAGTAACGTGTTCCAGAGAGTAACGTGTTCCAGAGAGTAGCGTGTTCCAGAGAGTCCAGCAGTAGCGTGTTCCAGAGAGTAACGTGTTCTAGAGAGTAGCGTGTTCCAGAGAGTCACGCGTTCCAGAGAGTAGCGTGTTCCAGAGAGTCGCGTGTTCCAGAGAGTCCAGCAGTAGCGTGTTCCAGAGAGTAGCGTGTTCCAGAGAGTAGCGTGTTCTAGAGAGTAGCATGTTCCAGAGAGTAGCGTGTTCCAGAGAGTCCAGCAGTAGCGTGTTCCAGAGAGTAGCGTGTTCCAGAGAGTAGCGTGTTCCAGAGAGTAGCGTGTTCCAGAGAGTAGCGTGTTCCAGAGAGTAGCATGTTCTAGAGAGTAGCGTGTTCCAGAAAGTAGCGTGTTCCAGAGAGTTGCGTGTTCCAGAGAGTCATGTGTTCCAGAGAGTAGCGTGTTCCAGAGAGTCGCGTGTTCCAGAAAGTCCAGCAGTAGCGTGTTCCAGAGAGTAGCGTGTTCCAGAGAGTAGCATGTTCCAGAGAGTAGCGTGTTCCAGAGAGTCCAGCAGTAGCGTGTTCCAGAGAGTAACGTGTTCCTGAGAGTAACGTGTTCCAGAGAGTAGCGTGTTCCAGAGAGTCCAGCAGTAGCGTGTTCCAGAGAGTAACGTGTTCCTGAGAGTAACGTGTTCCAGAGAGTAGCGTGTTCCAGAGAGTCCAGCAGTAGCGTGTTCCAGAGAGTAACGTGTTCTAGAGAGTAGCGTGTTCCAGAGAGTTGCGCGTTCCAGAGAGTAGCGTGTTCCAGAGAGTCGCGTGTTCCAGAGAGTCCAGCAGTAGCGTGTTCCAGAGAGTAGCGTGTTCCAGAGAGCAGCGTGTTCCAGAGAGTAGCATGTTCCAGAGAGTAGCGTGTTCCAGAGAGTCCAGCAGTAGCGTGTTCCAGAGAGTAGCGTGTTCCAGAGAGTAGCGTGTTCCAGAGAGTAGCGTGTTCCAGAGAGTAGCATGTTCCAGAGAGTAGCGTGTTCCAGAAAGTAGCGTGTTCCAGAGAGTAGCGTGTTCCAGAGAGTCCAGTGTGATTCTCTCATCTGCTGTTGGTGAATCCTCAACTTGTGTAGTGTTGTTGATGCATTTGTTAGCTTCAAAGACAGTTTATCGCCGTAGCGGTAACGACCTGTATTTTTTTCCATATTTATTTTTGATTGGTGAACACAGAATGAGGCTGATGTATATTTTCATCACAAATCCACGGAAACCACATGTATTTTTGATCTTTCTTCACATTTTACAACCATTCAATGCTTTTACTCAGAAAGACATAACTGCTGTGTTTCTTAAACCGAGTATTGTTTTCATTTCCACTTCTGACCTTTGAGTTTGTGACTTTGATCATTTTTAACTGCACCACAACTATAGTTAATACCAACAACATTCCCCCAGTGAAGGAATGTCCTCTTTAAAAGTCCTTAAAAGTCCAAATGGCTCCTCAAAGTGACCCTCTCTCTCATTTATTCACAATTATGGACAATTATGGACAATGGCTAAAAGGGCGATACAAAAGTACAGTGAATGTGCTCTTTATGGCAAGGCAAGAACTGAACAAAATCACACAAGGAATCAGAATAATAAATTATCACAGTATATTAGAAAGAGAAATCCCCAGGACAGCACAGATCAACTGAAGTGCTTTAACCTGGATGTGAACATTGTCAGAGAAGAAGCCTGTCTCACATTTTTGTGAAGATTTCAGCAGCATAAATCTGAAATTGTGCTCTTTATTCTGCTGGTGCAAATATATTCCAATGTGGTGTTTATACTGCACCTGGCAAATAAGATTAATCTGAAATGTTTAGTCCTGACTCTGGGACCAGCAGGAGGCCAGTCCCTGTGCTCCTCAGAGTCTCAGCAGGAGGCCAGTCCCTGTGCTCCTCAGAGTCCACAGCAGGATGCCAGTCCCTGTGCTCCTCAGAGTCCCAGCAGGAGGCCAGTCCCTGTGCTCCTCAGAGTACCAGCAGGAGGCCAGTCCCTGTGCTCCTCAGAGTCCCAGCAGGAGGCCAGTCCCTGTGCTCCTCAGAGTCCCAGCAGGAGGCCAGTCCCTGTGCTCCTCAGAGTCCCAGCAGGAGGCTAGTCCCTGTGCTCCTCTTAACGCCAGTGTGTGATCCCTGTGACAGCATCAACACCACGTGCCTGCCTCAGTTCGGTTACAAACACGTGCTGTCTCTGACGGAGGAGGTCGCCCGCTTCACGGAGGAGGTCAAGAAGCAGATGGTGTCCAGGAACCGCGACGCCCCCGAGGGAGGCTTCGACGCCATCATCCAGGCCGCGGCGTGCACGGTGAGCAGCCACAGCCGCTCATCACCCACAGGTGCTAATCACCCACAGGTGCTAATCACCCACAGCCGCTCATCACCCACAGGTGCTAATCATCCACAGGTGCTAATCACCCACACCCGTTCATTACCCACAGCCGCTCATCACCCACAGCTGCTAATCCTCCACAGGTGCTAATCACCCACAGCCGCTCATTACCCACAGCCGCTCATCACCCACAGCTGCTAATCATCCACAGGTGCTAATCACCCACAGCCGCTCATCACCCACAGCCGCTAATCATCCACAGGTGCTAATCACCCACAGCCGCTAATCACCCACAGCCGCTCATCACCCACAGCCGCTAATCATCCACAGGTGCTAATCACCCACAGCCGCTCATCACCCACAGCCGCTAATCATCCACAGGTGCTAATCACCCACAGCCGCTCATCACCCACAGCCGCTAATCATCCACAGGTGCTAATCACCCACAGCCGCTCATCACCCACAGCCGCTAATCATCCACAGGTGCTAATCACCCACAGCCGCTCATCACCCACAGCCGCTAATCGCCCTCTGATCACATTCTCCGGCCGCTCTGTATGACCAACACGACACACACATGGATAATAATGTACTTACTCAGGTCTCACTCTGGGCTTTATCTGTGAATAAAGGCCATTTGTAGACACACCTGCATGTGGAAGCCCTTCAGAAGCTGAATCAGTCAGTGGAGAAAGTCTTGAACCAACAACCTTCAGGCTCATAGGCCAATGCTACCAACTGAGCCAGTGTTGCCCCAAGCTTCATCTGATTGTCTTCAAAGAGAAAGTAAA